CGGCATGAGTTTTAAGCCACCGGGTCCGGGACGCGAACCGCGGTCAACTATGTGGGAGTCCAGCGACATAGCCATTATGCTAACCAGGGAACCAGGGTGAATACAATTTTTCATGGTCAATTTGAACTATTATGTCAGGGCAGATTCCCTCTCTGCTGATGGCCACTTTCACCTGCTCGCTGATGTAGAGCTCAGAGTCTTCTGATATAGCAGGTTGTTGGCTCCAAGTCTTCCCTTGATGTTAAGTGAACTGAGAGACAGTGCGGTCATTCAAGTATGTAAAAACTCCTTTAAAATGATAGGCTAAAAATTCCTCTGTCAGGGACCAGCAGATGGTATAATGGTTATGTCACTGGACTGCCACATGTTCAATTATAGTTTGAGTCCGGGACTTGGTGGCTTAAAACTACACCGGCGCCTGTACCCAAAATCATGAGAGGAGAATGGAGGAAAAGGGATTGCACCATGGCCATCCCCACTTGGGGGTGACTTCTCACTTTCTCTGTCTCTCCAGTGAGCACACATGCCCTATCGCAAATATCTCTCTTTTAAAAAAATCCTTTCATCCTCAGTTCTAAACCTCATTTACTGTAGACTTTTTAGAAGCTCAAGTAACCATTCGATGATCTCCAGAGATCGTTTTTAAAGTTCTCTCCGCTTCCTACCCACTCTGCACTTCGTGTCACTGTATGAACAGCTGCCATTCCCCAGCAGAATAATGTACTAATGTACAACACCAGCTTTCACACCTGCCCGCGACTAAATTCTTCTCAGCACTAATCTCGGAAGAGGGAGCCATTTTCTGAATGCAGCTCAATAGACGGTCCAGGGTTCAGCTACTGGAGCAGTGGTAACACAACACTCCGTGATGCTGGATCCATGTGGGAAGGTCACAGGTTTGCATCCTGAGTCTCCCTGTACACACTGGGTGCACCTGTGTGCCTGCAACCCCGGGTGGCTGGGGCTGGGGTGAATCGCAGCAATGAAGACCAGGCTGGGGGCACCTCTCCCTCATTGTCTTTTTTTCTCATGGAAGAAAGGATGAAAGAAACTTTAAGGAAAAAAAGAAAAGGAAACTATCTTTACTTTAAAGAACAAACAGATAGAGCCAGCCCTGTAGCACTGCGGTTAAGCACTGTGTGTAGGGAGCCAGATCCCACGTGACCGTGGTTTGAATCCCAGTCCTGAGGGCTTGAAAAACATGCCAGGCACATATGCACGCATGTTCAAAATACTGATGGGATAGAGAAATGAAGGAAAGGGATTGTGGCGTGACCATAGCCCTGTGAGGTGCTTTCTCTTCCCCTCTCTCCCTTCCAGCAAATGCATAAGCCCTTTGACAATTAAAAAAAATTTTTCAATAAATGGCCTAGAATTTTTTTAAGTTTTGCCTTAGGGAGCATGTGCTTGCCAGAGACAGAGACCAAGAGAGTAAGAGGGAAAGTGAGAAATCACCTCCCGGGGGGGATGGTCACAATGCAATCCTTTGTCCTCCATTTTCCTCCCAGAATCTTGGGCATGAACATACATGTGCCTGGCATGATTTTCAAGCCACAAGGTCCAGGACTGTAACCACAGTTGGTCATGTGGGAGTCCAATGACATAATTGCTATGCCATCTGCTGGCTCCTATGGCCCAGAAGCTTTCATATAAAGTTAGTTGCTAATAGAAAGTACAAATTCAAAACGATTTTCCTTAATATGCATTCCTAAAGAGAAAAGCTAGAGATCAGAGCCAGTGTCAGGGTCATAATATAAGACACAGAACATGTAATGGGATAAGCCTCCTCCTCAGGTTGCAGGAACATCTGCAAATAGCATAAAGGACAAGCTATCATTTTTATTCTCTCTTTTTCCAACTAAAAAAACATTTCTGAATCTTACATGGTACACTGTAGTCCGAGAGAATTAATCACCATTTCTAAATTCAACTACTTAATATGGTATGGCTACCATGTCAAAGACCCTCATATTTCTAAGTATGTGCCTAGTTGAAAATCACTTAAACAAGATAAAATGTGGAGGGGGAACACCTAGATCCATGTATGTCAAAGAAGCTAGGATGAGAGTCCAGGGCACTCCCAGGAAGAAACTTCTGTTTGTTATTTCATCTAAAAACCTCCTCTTAGAGCCACATCTAAGGGGTCTCCTCAGAGTGTCCTCCTCATAGTACGTCTTCATTATTCCCCTCTTGCTGACATTTGTCTTAAAACTTTAGCTGGGAGGAAGAAGAGAGTGTTTCAGCAGCCTGGGGTAAAAACTGCTTGGGTCCAATTCTAATCAAGACAATGAAGAAGGTCTTAACAAATATGTTCTTGCCACTTCTGTGGTTTACATAGAATGAAGGGTCTTTCTTGGACAAGAAAGAAAGAAAAAGAGGAAGAAAGAAAGAAAGAAAGAAAGAAAGAAAGAAAGAAAGAAAGAAAGAAAGAAAGAAAGAAAGAAGAAAGAAAGAGAGAGAGGGGAAGGAAGGAAGGAAGGAAGGAAGGAAGGAAGGAAGGAAGGAAGGAAGGATCTATGAATACATTTAATTAAATAACTAAAGAACAAGAAGACAATCAGGGCCAGACAACGGTACAGCAGTGACACACACCTTGTGGGGCTGACTCACATGGGAAGGCTCTAGGTTCGTGTCCAGAGACCTCCCTGAACATGATACGAGGGGTATGTACATACGCATGACGTATGTTGGCTAAAATTGGGGCTCAATTGTGGCATGAAGGACCCTGTTGGGGATGCCACTTTCTCTGTTTCTATTTCTCTCTGTGTCCCTTGCTCATGGAAGAAAGATAACAGACAGAAACTTAAAAAAAAAAAAAAGAAGAAGAAGACAACCACCTGATTGTGAAACATAGTCAATTGTGTTTAAACTGCTTCTTTTTTTTAAAGAATTATTTTTATTTTATTTAATTAATTAATTTATTTTGTTTTAATTTGACCAGAGAGGGACAAAGTATATGTGAGAGAGAGAAAAAAAGTGACAAAGCAAGCTGCCAAGTCCAGGACTCAGGAAATGAGGTTGGCTATATGGGAGTCCAGCACCCTTAACCACCACACCACCTGCCAGCCCCTAAACTGCTTCTTAAGACAATCAACGCATTGGTATTTATGGATAAGGAGCCAAGAGCCTAGAGCTAGCATGCCTGCCTGGGAGTCCTAGGTTTTCATCATGCTAGTCATTCCTGGAGAGGCCCTGTAGGAAAACGTGCTTCCCGACACATACATGAGGACCCGTGCTCACACCAGGAGACACAGGAACTGCTGGGCTCTTACCAGACACTCATGACATGTTCCCAAATCACGCTGGGTCTCCACCTGTTGTAAATTATTTTATTACTTTTATGAGTAGGTGAAAAGCTAACAGGGCCTTCTCACCAGGCTCCTTTTAAACAAGGACCACTGCCTTCTAGAAAAAGTGCCTTTGCAAGCATTCTTCGGTCTCATCATTTCAAGAGGCCAACCTATGGTATTCAGGAAAGTAATTAAGGACAAATCAAAGCAATTACTTGACATTCTTTACAATAACCCTATGAAATTTCTAACCCTAAGAAGCAAACTGTACAAAAAAGAATGAGGCTAAAGAGGCTTAAACGTAGCATCTTCTGTAATAAGTTACTACAGAAAACCAGGATGTTGAGTGCTACCCACCTCCTTTGGAATAGCAATGTTAGATATGGCTTTTTTTTTTTTTCCCTACCCAGGTCTTCGGTCTTCTGCCTACTGAGGTGAAATGTAAGACTGAACGAGCCACATGAATGAGCCAGTAAGATAATTCTGAGCAAGGCCTGAGCAGGGACAGACAAACGATGTATCCAGAGAGCAAAACTGAAGTAGGCACCAACTCCCATGCTCATGCCAGTATCGACCCTGAGGTTCTTACATTAGATTTGCAATTGAAAAGGCAATCCTGTCACTGGTTGTGCATTGGAAGTGATAAGGGAAACAGAGCAGCAAGCAAGTCCATCTGGAAAACACCCATCAGAAATGGCACGTGGCTGAAGGATCCCTTGAAACAACGATTCCAGACCAATCATTAGTTTGTGGGACGAAATCAAGAACAAGAAGAAAATGCAGAAAAAACATCTGTTTATCCAGGTGCATTGAGCAGAGGAATAACATAAACATGAAAGCTATCATTTGTAAACATCGCCGACATGTCAGCTGCTCTAAAGGCATTAGCTTAATTACTTTCAGAATGACTCTTGGAGAGAGCTATTATCATTATATTATTATTACCATTTAAGAGATAAGAAAACTGAACTTTGTAAATTGACCCAGATGTGAGAACTAGTCTATGCTATTATTCTGAGTCTATTTTTTGTATTATTTTTAATGCACATATGTGCACGAGAGAGAGAAGAGAAGAGAAGAGAAGAGAAGAGAAGAGAAGAGAAGAGAAGAGAAGAGAAGAGAAGAGAAGAGAAGAGAAGAGAAGAGAAGAGAAGAAAAGAGGGATAAGGGGAAAGAGAGAAAGAGAAAGTCTTCCCTAACAGAACCCATTCACATTGCAACCTCCCTTTCTCCATTCCTCCCTCCCATCAAGCGGCCAAGGCTGAGACTCAATCAGGCAATCGGGCATGTGGGATTCAGTTCCCTCCACACAACACTCAACCACTGTGCCACAGAGCCAGCCTGTGAGTCTTTTCTTAAATTCCACATGTATACATGTCATTTTCAAGAAAAACAGAAAACAACAAAATACTCAATATATAGTGGCATGTCCCACATCAGTAAGAAACCATGTCAAAAATAACCCTTCGTGCACTGGTACACAGACTTGGCAAGAAACCTTAGCTCACGTATCTTTGTAACCTGATGATCATTGCAAGAGGTCCAGAAAACACGTATTGTCATCTTACTAGTCGAGTGAAGAAAATGAAGTGCCAAATGTGGCTTGAGTGAGGGGCAGGGGAAAGAAAGACAGTAGCCATGCACTCTAAAGACAGCCAAGCCATGGATCTTCACACTAGACCTTGAGGTTAAACAAACCAAGTGACTGACCTCCACATCCCCGTGAAACTGAACATGGTGCTCACGCAGCGAGGGAGGGGCGGAGGCCTGAGTCCATCTAGACGCATGAGCAGAGCCGGGATGCCGAAGAGCACCAAGTACTTCACGTAGAAGAAGAGCACCTGGGCCAAGGCCAGTCCTCCTGGAAGGCGAAGAGACCTGTTAGACACATGGACCAACAGCAGAGCAGGCTCCTGGAAGAGATGGGACATCCCAGCAGCTGTGTCACCTGTCCCACTTCTTCACCCTCTCCCTTTCCTCCCCTCCTCTCAAACATTTTTAAATAGTAGCCCACACTGTTTTCATTTAATGAAATTCTTAGATTAACGGGTACTGAAATATCCTTCATTACGGTGACAGGCATCAGGCATCAGGCTGCTTGGTAGTCGTTCTGTCACAGAAACAAGGACAGAGAATGCCTTACAAGCACATACTGCATTTTTAAACCATTAGGGAAAATGTTTCCCAAATCCATGAAAACCTACATGAACTTGCACCTGTAAAAGAAGTCAGATCAAAAAATACTGGTGACAATGTGGAGAAATTAGAACCATCACACACAGCAGGTAGGAATGTAAAATGGTATAGCTGCTGTGGGAATGAGTCTGGGAATTTCTCAAATGATTAAACATCGAATTACCATATGATCCAGAAATTCTGCTCTTTGGTATATACCCAAGAGACAACCTGTCCAAAACATTTATACCCTAAGGTTCATAGCAGCATTATTTCTTTTTTAAAAAACAATCTTTTGAAAACTTTATTATTATTATTATTTATGTTTTAATTTGACCAGAGACAGAAAGAGTAAAAGGGAGAAAGCAAGCCACCAGGTCCAGGACTCAAACCACAGTCAACCATGTAGGAATCCAGCACCTTAACCACCATGCCACCTGCTGACCCAGCAGTATTATTTTTAATTGCCAAAAGATGGAAACAACCAAAAATTCCACCAACAGATTAATAAACAAAATATAGTCTGTTCATAAAATGGAATATTACTCCCACCATAAAAAAGAATGAAATACTGATACATGCTACGACATGGATGACCCATGGAAGAATCATGCCAGGTGAAAGACGTCAGTCACCAAAGATCATATACTATATGATTCAATTAATCTGCAAGTCCAGCATGGGGAAACCTAGAGAAACTGAAAATAACTTAGTGATTGCTGAGTGCTGGGAAAGGTGATAGCAGCAAAAAGTAGTACTTCTTAGGGCCAGCAGGTGGCATGGGGGCCACAGTTCAAGTCCTGGACCTGGTGGTTTGCTTTCTCACTTTCCCTCTCTCTCTCTCTCACTCTGCCCACTCTGGTCAAATTTTTTAAAATAAATAAAGTTAAATAAAAATAATTATTTTTTTAAAAAAGAACATGGCTTATTGTTCTTTCCCCTTGACCTGAAAATTAGTCTTTCCCCTATAAGATTTGATCTAAGGTTTCAGGGTTGGCCCTGAAGATTCTGCTGCATTCTCTAAGGCATACAATGGCAAGAAGGCAAAGTAAGGATATAAACAACTCTGCTCTGATTGAAAATTGTTTGACATCCATAAATTGAACATAGCTTTTGTTACATTCAAAAATTACAAAATCTGACTATTTTTCAATACTTTGAACATTTATTCCTGGGTTTGTATTTTCTCTCAGGGTCAGCAGGTGGCATGCAGGTTAAGTGGCTGGATCCCACATGACCGATTGAGTGGTTCAAGCCCTGGACCAGCAACTTATCACTTCTGGCCTGTGTGTATTGCATGCCCAAAATCCAAAAGGGAGACTGGAGGAGAAGGGATTGCAGCCAAACCCCCTGGGGGTGATTTCTCATTCACTCTTCCTCTCTCCCTCCTTCTTGCAAGTGTATGTGCCCTATAGCAAAAGAAAAGACTCTCAGTTACAAATAGTTATCATTTACTTTACCCAGCTTAGCCTTTCCCCTCCAAAAAAGCCAGATATGATTTTATACAGTTGGTCATTGCCACATGACAGCGTTTCAGGCAGTGATGAACTGCACATACAATGGTGGCCCCACAAGGAGCAACACGCTATCCCGTATAGCCCAGGAGTGCAAAAGCCATAGGATCTAGGATGGTGATGTCCGCACAATGACAAAACTGCCTCGCAACGTAGTTCTCAGAACATATCGCCATCATTAAGGGGTGTTCGACTGTACTACTCTCTCCCTTGACATTCACTTGCTCAACAAGCACCTACTGAGCGCATTTCAACCAGAATCACTGGCTAAATACTATGAGAAATAAACTAGAGATGGAATCGGGGGGACTCAGCCTTCAGGGGGCTCATGATTACAGTCTCATTTATCCTTCCCTTTTGCCACACTGTATTCTTTTCTGCCTTTGTGTCTGGCTCCACCTTCTCTTCATGGCAAAATCCATTTTCTATTCAGATCACAATTCAAATATGATCTATACAGTTATTAGCACCAATTCCCAGCCAGGCACTGAGCAATACTGTGGTGAATAAAGAGACATGATGCCTGCCCTTCTAGAACATAACAGTTGGTTAAAAGGGAAAAGATTAAATCAGGAGTGGGATTAAACCCCAGAAGACTAAAACAGGCAACAACCCGGATACATTGGCCCAGGCACTAATTCTTTTACATTGAACAAATATTCATTGTGTGGCCAGGCATGGTTCTTAGAGGCTTAGGACACATCGGTGAATACTCCTGCTATCATGGGGCTTACACCCTAGCAGAGTCAAAAAAAAAAAAATAGACACAAAAGTAAATTCTATATTAATACTAAGTTAGAAAATATAGTCTGGCAAAATGTATTTCTCAACAATGGCAACAAATACATCCTCTCCCACATGCTCTCCACAATGTGGCCATGCTACTCCCCCATCAAAAGTAAATCTGGGCAGGTCTCAGAACCAATAGAAACAGAAGCGATGCTCCAATTCCACATGTATTCTGAAAGGGGCCTGGCACCTTCCACTCTCTGCCATCTTCTCCTTTCTGGCCTTTCCAAGGCTCATTCTTGGGACACAGGTCTCTCCTATGAGCCTGTTGCCATGCTGTAAAAAGTCCATGCCACATAGAGAGGCCACATGAAGATGTTCTGGTGCGCAGTACCAGCTCAGTTCCCAGCTGATGGCCAACCTCAACTGCCAGCTGTGCAAGGAGCCATCCGAGATGTCCTGCCCAGTCAAGCCTTCAGAATTCTGCAGCTCCAGCTGATGTCCAATTGCAATCATAAGCGATACCCCAGCAAGAACTACCCAGCCAAGTCCAGTCAACCAGCAGAGTTGGTAAGTTTGGGGATGGTTTGTAAAGCAATAAATGAGAAAGAAAGAGAAATACTGTAGAGCAGCATAAGGGAGCTCAGAAATGCTAAAGTAGCAGATGCCACTTTTTCTTTTTTAAGTTTATTTCATGAGAGTGAGACACACAGAGAGAGAGAAAGAGAGAGAAAAAGAAGTGTCCTCAACAGGGTCTTAACAGTCTTTTCTTCCCAGCCAGTCAGGATTGTGGGTAGGCACACCTAGCATATCTAGGTAGGCCAGGGACCTCAACCCATGATCTATTTTTTGATCCAGCATTGCTGAAACAGTGCATTTTAACTCTGTTTTTTTGTTTTGGGTTTTTTGTTTTGTTTTTGTTTTTGTTTTTATAAAAAGAGAGAGAAAGTGCATATAAGCACAAGCAAGAGGAAAGTGCAAGACAGGCATTTTTGACAGGGTCTTGCCATTGCAACTCTCTGCCCCAGCCTCCCAGTTAGCTAAGATTACAAGTGCATGCTGCCACACCCAACATGTTCAGGTTGGTCTGGGATCCAAGCCTGGGCCTCCCATGTGGCGCTGGTTTCCTACAGTGGCACCTTTCTACATGTGCCACCACGGCTGAGCTAGATGCTGCTACTTAGTCAAGGTGGTCTTCATTGAGATGAGGGCATTGGAGTCCAAACATGAGAGGGTCAGGTATGCAGCTCCCATCTTCCTTTCAGGCTTGCATCATCCTTAGTCTTAGAATCTGTTCTATGCTCCCACCTCAGGTCATAGTTGTACACATGCATTCTTATCTTACTAGGCCACAAGCTTTTCATGATTGGGAATGGGGCCTTATGCCTCTTGTATTCCCAGTACCTCACATCTGCCAGAGTTGATGCTTGATAAATGTTTCCTTGAAAAATAACTGAATTGATCATTCGTCTTATCATAGGAAGTCTACCTGAATCATGGTATTTCTGGAAAGAGTATTGAAAGTCTATCATCAGCTCTAAGGATTGTTAAGTCACTACTGAAATGCAGACCTGCCACCAAATTAGAGCCTTCTGTGGGTTTGGGACCTTTCATTCCCTGTGTAGAGAACACTGGTGAGAAGGGAAGACAGAAAAGTCCTAGCACCGTGTTTGCTACTGCCTCCAAGTTATGAAATACGTGGTTAATTCTGCCTACCAGCAGGCCACTTCCAATTGGAAGGGCTTCAAACTCATCTTGTCCAAAACAAAATTTAGCTTTCATCTCTCAAAACTAGAAACAGCAGACTTTCAAGACAGAAGGAGATAAATGGGAAAATCTACAAAAAGCTCTGGGAAGATGAGGACTGAGAAAAGGTCCCAATTAAGCTCCCTAAAGTTTAGTCCTTCTCAGAGTGATACGCCTGCCTGTACAGGCCTCCCTCTCTCTAGCTCTCTTTCTCTCTCCTTTGCACTATTACCTTGCCATAATTTTAATTGATATGAAGCAACCAGGGATCAGTTCCCAGCTGACTTATCACCCTCTTCTCAGTTCTGGCTCGCAAATGAGTAACTAAAGATCTTACATTGCAGCGTTTGGGGTATGGGAAAAAGAAGGCAAGACCATCCCATTTTTCCTGCCCTTACTTTCCTGTCCTCACTGGACCATGTGTTTTTCCCAGTTACACCCTTCACTTTCTCTTTGCTCACATTCCATTTTTCCTGTTAAAACTCTACCCTTCGTTAAGGTGCCAGCTAAATGCAATGATTTCATAAAGCTGTTTCTTTTCCTTTTTTTATTTTATCTTACTTATTTTTTTTGAGAGAGAGAGTGATATCTATGCTATAGGGTGCATGGGCTCACCAGAGAGACAGAGAGAGACAGGGAGACTGGAAGTGAGAAGTCACCTCCCACAGGGGATAGCCACACTACAATCCCTTCTCCT